AAGGGTCTGTATCACTACATTTTGTTACAGTATACTTAGCCCTATACTGTGTTCTTCTCCTATAGTTGATTTAATGTTGAAAAAAGCAAATAAATAAAGTAAAAAATAAATAATTGATTTTAAATGTTGTCCCACACATTTGAAACCTTATTTATTTGTGTTTGACTTATTGCTTTTAACGTCTTGTGTTGCTTTTCAGAAAACAATCAAATCTGTCACCATCACTTACATTGACTACACAGTTTTTCTGCAGAAAACCATGTAAGCACATTCCTAACTGTTATATAAACTATAAAATCACTCAATCATTTCTGAAAATGATCAGGCCATCTGTTATATGATGCTGTGACGCAGGGAAGTGTGGAAGTTGAGTTGGAGCTCCTCTTTGTGTACTTCTTAATTCCTATTTTTGGTGGAAAAGCCAAATTGAGCTATTCTCAAAAATGCAGCCAGAGCTGATTAAAACCTTTGTCCCTCCAAAAACCTGCCTCACAAGTCAAGACCCCTTTAAGGGTGTACTCAAACTGTCCTGAAAGGTGCGTCTGCAGCAGCCGGCTGGAACAATTGCTCGGGGGGGACATTTAACAAACAGCTCCGGAGAGATAGAGCAGCGCTGACCTCAGTGACTGTGTTATTGTGTGTGTGCATGAGTGTGTGTGCATGAGTGTGTGTGAGACAGAGAGAGATAGAGGCAGTGTGTACACCAGTTGAACTCGTCTACCTCTGCTCTCTGATGTCAGACAGAAGAGCCCTGCGTCGCTGCTGACGCCGGTGCAGCTGGTAAACCAAACACACTCTGACAGCTGATACATAGTACGGATTTTGATCCGCGTTGAACCAACAACAACAAGCCCGTCATCCAGCGTCCGGTCTGATGCCCTAATAATACACACTCACACTGGCTTATGTAAGGGGATAATCCTGCAGTCATTAAAGTGATGCACTGGGGCTAGAGCCACATAACCTTTTCATGAAAATGGTGAAATCCGTGCGGTGTGTAAGGGATAATGTGCATTCATTATAGGAAAAAGAACAGACAACAAGGTGATCATGGAGCCCGACCAGAAGTGAAGGTTGTGTAATAAGAGACATTATTCTGCTTATTACAGGGCCAAATACTAGATAAACAAACAACTTGACTCCCAATTTTGATTGAAAATAATTGTATTGACTTGAAAGTTATCGTATTGCTTTTACTAAGAAAAGAATACTCCGTGCCACTGTGTACCGATGGATGGAAATGCAACAACAAAGTAACTTGAAAATATGGAAGCACTAATCAAGGTTTTTCTCTAACTATAAGAGTCTGTTTAGAGTTTTTTTTTTCCACTAACCAGTCTTTAAACAGCCCATACCTTCTGTTGATTTCTCTGACGTCCAAAAGCTCTGTCTTTTAACCTATTTTCTTCTCTCCTTCGATCCTCCTTAGCATCAGTCATTATTGTTGCTAAGCAGCAGTGTGTTACCGAGTATTAACAAGCTCTGAATTGTCCGAATTGACCAATCAGAATAGAGAATTCAACTAAGCCGTGTTATAATGTTTGATCACAATAGCTTGCAGCAGTTTGTACCTCCAAGCGTTGCCAAAACTCTGCTTCCCGCCTCACTAAAATGTAGGATATTTGAAGAGGTTTTCTGTCACTTTAATGACCCCTGCTCCTCCAGACTCCCTGGCTCTTTCTCAGACATCTCAATCACCTTCCCCTCTGGTGAAATAAAATAAAAAAATCATTTCACATGGAACGCTCGCTGTGTTGCTCCTCCAACAGAAACAAAAAGGCAGCCTCTCCATCATCCGACTAACCATAAGCTTCCCTTTATCTTCTCTCCCTCATTAAACTCTGAATAACTCAGCAGAGAGGCAGAAAGACGAGAGAGAGAAAAGTGATTTAATTCTGCCGGACGAAGAAAAGCCCCTTGAGGTTGCCATTTTGAATGTGTGCCATGTCGAACAGGCTGGAACCAGAGATCACCGAGACAACGGAGCGGGGGAGAATAGACTATAGACAGAGCTGAACTACTGTAGATAATGTACCATGGATGTCGGGTCATTGTATCCAGAGGCCAGAGTCATCGTGATGACCCGTCACGACCTCGGAGGGAGGCCGGCGGAGGAAGGCGCTCTGAAAGGAAGGTCAGAGGGAAATCGCGGTACCAGACGTGATATCTCAATTCAAAAGCTGAATGAAGCCCAATTATTTCAATAATACAGCAATCCTGGGAAGGACATACAGAAAGGAAAAATGGGCTTGACATTCAGGCAGGCGGCTGAGGGAGGTAACAAGTTCACGGCCTTTTCAGAAAACATGGCCGCCAGCTGTGTGATGGATCATGGAGCCTCAGATGGGCCATCAGGCGAGGGTCCCATGAAGGAACGCATGGGAACCCAATCTTCCAAGAAGAAGGGAGTCACACAGACAGTTAAATAAATGAACTCCTCTTGGTTTTGATATAGGCTTTTTGATTTGCCCCATATGGAGCAACAATAGCCCTGCTAAGAAATGACAAGTGATGTTTCTGACACGCCACAAGGATTCTTTCATTACATTATTATGAATATATTCTGACAAATTAATGCAGTTGAGTTTAAAGGGTGATGACATAAAATCAACATGTATACCTCATACTATAGCAGAAAGAGCATATCATTTTACAAATGGAAATAATGGATTCGTAAAGGGCTGCAGAAATGTATTATTTGACATCCATCATTTTTAAGTCCAGGTTTTGAGCATTTTAGTCCCTATAATAGGTCAAGCTTTAAAAATACTGCCAGGTACGTGATTACATTTTCAGCAAGATTTCGAGCAAGACATCCCCTCTACGTACCCCTTTTAACACTGGATCTCTATTAAAAAGGCACTCTGGTCCAATCAATTTTTTTTTTTTAAATAACAATTTTGGATACTAGATTGAACAATTTGCAATTCAACACAAACGTTATTTCATTATTTGTCTTATGTTCAGAATATGCACCCGTTTGTAGCCAAGAATTTCTGTCAAAATAGGACATTTTTGGGGGAGAAATTATTTTAAATACTTTTTATTTGCAGCAGTCTAGATGTGATATGTTCACTTTAGGCAGAAACTACAATTAATTTTCTGAATTTAATATTTTAAACAAAACTGCTTTGTTCAACAGTTTGAATAGATACACTTTTTTTCCAAGGTCAATAATGAATTTCTACGCTTTAATCGCATTTTAATATTATTTCAATTATCTCAATACAAAGAAGAGAATTTTAAAATGACCAAGTTCCTAAGTTGTTGAGTTTGCAACATAAACAAACGTATAGGACACCAAAACATTTTTCTTCGAGACTTCTTACAAACATCATCACATTTCCGACAAAGACAATGTATGTTCGAAGCTGGGAAACACCCATTGTAACTATTTCAAGCATGAGCAGAAGGGGGCAGCTACAGTACAGAATGTTTGGTATGTCAGAAATGACAATAACAGCTAACTCTTGTAACTTTGTGGTGATATCTTAGAAGAGATACTAACAAAACATCTTTCTCCACAACAAAAGGGTGAGGAATGACTTAAACATATTGTAATGTTAGTAGTCAGCGAGCATAGAGTTTGAAACTGGTCAAAGCATATTTGTATTTACATAATGCATAAAGTATGCAGAATTATGGTTATTAATAATCATAATTGTTCGTAGTAATTTGTTGTATAGATCCAGCATCTAAAATCTGATATGAGGCTTCTTTGGTCTAACAAATATATGGGTTTTTAATACTGGGCTCTACCGTTGTCTCTTGGAAATAATTAAAAAAGTTAAACAGTTAATTTATTAATTAAGAGTATTGGAATTAGTATTGGAAATATAATTTAGATCAAGCCATAATCTGGTGTTTAGTCCGGATCGCTGTTGTAGAACAGCCCGAAAAGAAAAACACATATTAAAAGCCATGAAACAAAAGTGTGATTACTGTCATGATGTAATAATACAAATAAATAATAATAATAATATCTTGAAAAAGAAAAATCCACTTTCCTCTCCCCTACATTATCTGCAATGTGCCCCACTTCCACAGCGTAGGAATAATAAACCTGTCAACAGCGGTCTCCTGGGAGGCCACTGCTGACACTTCGTTGTCAGTGGCAAGGCATGCTGGGAGAGCTAATGGGACAGGCCCTCAGGGGTGCCTCGGACAGCCCCAGACAGGTGAGTTGTCTGACAGCTCTTTTATGTATAAGAAAAAGTCATCGATCATAACCTTTCGACCTTTGTTGGCTTTAAATCACAAACAGATCCCTGCTGTAAAACACACTGACTGACGTTATTGCTGAATAACTGTATAGCGAGATTAAATCCAGAAATATTGGATTCTAGGATTTAAATGCAAAGTCGGCATTGATTTAAGAGAACACATTTAACAACGAAAGACTGTACACTACATGATAGTAAAAATGCATTTGTGAAACCAAATGAATGCTCAATGCTTAAAATATAATTAAAATGAGGTAAAAACATTACATTAACAACTGAAAACTGATTTTCATATTAATCTGCTACCTATTTTCAAGCATCTACAGAAAGAAATCCCCTCCAAAATGCGGTCTAAAGTCCCATAAACTTGACATTTACTTTAACCCCCGCCACAATCTCCCCCTCCCCCAAAAAGTGAGAGTGATCACCCGGTTTACGGTGCGTCTCCGTGATTTCTCCCTTATCGTAACCACGTGGCCCCATTCCGCAAGTTTTCCCTCCCTCTACACGTGCATGCATGCGAACATCTGAGCTGATCAGCCAAACAGTATAGCGCTGGAGGCAGCAGCTGGAGTTTCAGGACTTTCGCTGTGGATCGGATGGTGGAGAGGAGACGCTGCAGTCAGCCCTGTTACACAATCCCTCACCACTACACTCTGCATTTTTTAAACTTAGAGTACAAGCAGATGTCAAATCACGATGCATACGTATGTAGACAGCATTCGGAGAGAAAAACAGGCAAAGGAAAAGAGTCAGCAGTCTTTCCTGGGCACTGACCTGGACAGAACAGCAAACACAGCGCCGGTCAGCCTCTCATCTTGCTCCTCTTCTCAGATTTCACACTCCAGCTCCTTCCTGGCTGCCTTTCGAAGTTGGTCTCTCCGCTTTTCCTGAGGTGAAAGTCCTGGGCAGAGGAGGGAATCAGGAAGAGGTAGAAGGAGATGACGGGATGAAGTCTGTCTCCCTTGTTTTCGCTCTTCTTCTTTATTTCCCCTTGTTCTGTTTTGCACCAATCTTCCATAGTGAAAATATCTCTCCATGCACTCACTACAGGGTGAGGAGGGGAAAATAACATTGCGAAAGAGAGAGCAGCAACCTCCTGTTTAAATTTAGAGGCTGGATCAGGCTGCAAGGCGAACTCTACTGGGCAAGCCCATAACCGAGGCGCACTTTGTAATGAAAGCTCACTTCCTCTCTTGTTCTTGCCTTACCCCTCCTCCCATCACAGCTCTTTCTCTGCCTCCCCCTCCCTTCCCTCTCGTCTCCCTATAGTTCTCAGTTCAGCAGGGATCAGGAATGCTGCCCGGAACCAAAGTCTGCGGAACAAGCCCCACTTTGCTCGAAAAACAGTAAAGGCAAAACATTTTTTTAAATTCTCACTAAGTTCAATCATAACCTTACTTACATTGCCAATGGTATTACAAAATAAGTCTTGCCTTGCTGCATATTTCAAATTGATTTAATTCAAGCACACTGTCTAGACTTCAGTCATGCAATACCTTATTCAAAAACCAATGGACATGGAGCTATAATAATGGCAAGGCTATCAGTCAGTTTTTATAATTAAATGTGCTCTTGTGAACAATTTATGCAATTCTTTTCATAGATCGAGATAAAAAATAAATCTGGATCAATGCGCCAAATCTGCCTGTATTGGGCTCTGTTGTGCCTTTTACTAGTCAAACTACAAAAACTAGTGACATTGCTCAAACAGATACTTCTAACAGATGTGTCAGGCATGTGGACCTTGCTGTTTTGAAGCAATGTTGTTTTTCGTACAGTGATGAGTGACGTATTTCTTTTGGAAAGCCAGCCTAGTGCCTGCGCTATCCAGGGCTCTCCGCACTGACCCAGATTCTCCCCAGCAAACAGGACACTATGTACCATAACCAGGCTCTGAAATGAGGACAGCGAGTCCAGAGAGCATCAGACTGAGAGGAAGAGAGACACGCAGAGATTTTCCTCCGGCATTTGTATTCGATTCAAAACAAAAACACATCATGAATACCATCAAGCTGAAAATAGGCATCTCAAATTCCAGGAAATGCTTTGGAATAACTTCCACTAGACGGCTTGAGGAAGAAAATGTAAACATAATCACAACAAAATACAAATAAGAGCCAGTGGAGCTTCATGGATGCTCTCTGTTGGAACAATAATGTAATCCCGTAGATGTCCGGAGCAGACAGTAATCCATCTGCACCATCTGAAGGGTGGAGATAGGGGCCAGGTGGAAGAGGAGGAGGTCCAGACGGCTGCAGGCTCCAGCTCAGAGGTCAGAGGTCATGGGAAACAGCGGCTCAATATGAAGATGAGAGGTCAATGCCACGGCTGGATAAGCCAGAGCCGCATGTGTCCGGCTCGAGGGCGGTTGATAAGAGTGATGGGGAGCGGGGGCGAAAGTGTAAAGAGATCAAAATTAAAAGCTACAAAGCCAAACAAAGGAAGAGAGGGGCCAGCCAAGCCTGAAGGAGTCACAGTCGCGCTCCATGCACAGAAATAATGTCAGTGGTGATTTAACTGTGGGAGTGTAAACATGGAAGGAATGCCAGTTTAACACAATTCATTACGCAGGGATTTGGTTTGGGACAAAAAGTTCGTAAGATGCCCAATCGGGATAAAAGACAAAAGTCATTTAAAAAAATGTATACCTGTAACAAAACCAAACTAAAGAAAGCTTTTTCTCCTGATCTCCTCTTACCCCCTCCTCTGATCTAGAACTTTGTGTCTTTTGTGAGTCTTTGTAGTCTAGATCAATGAATTCTGGAAATGCTGATAAGAGAGCACAATTCCAGTCTGTCTTCAAAGGCATTCATTGCATTATCCAAGGTTATGCACATGACAATTGAGGAGGACAGTTTCAAAGAATGAAAGCTGAGAAATGTATAAAGATTTCAGCATCAGAACGAAGGTTTCAACAAGTACTTTAAATTGTACTGAGAACTTTATCTATGAAGGTAGATATGGTGCAAAATGCTTGTAAAACCTGATGTGAGCACTTGCAGAACAAAAATCTGAGCTTGTGTGCATACATTTACACTTGTATAAAAATATCCACATATCTGTGAACCAAATTTGAAGTCACAGAAAAAAAGAAGTTTTGTAGCTTGTAGAACATTTTTTTACTTAGTGATGAAATGTTCACTTGCAGAAAAATACATATTTTTAAAATATATTTTCCATTACAACTGCAACTTTGTTATTACAACCTCTCAAATCAGTCATTACAACTTCACGAATCTGCTCTGTGGCAGTATAAATCGACGAATCTGCGGTCTTGACTTTTGCTACACTTCTTGCGATGAATGTGTCGCAAAAGTAATTTTCACCTGTATATGTGGGGGGTAGGAGCGAAGGGGTCACACAGCCATATAGTCAGGTCGAACCAGATGACTGCGCGGCCCCGCATGTTGCCCCTTTCACACCAACGTAGTTCCAGGGCCGGTTCGGAGCTTGAGCCTGATAAGCACCGTTTTTTCCGGTTCATGCCGCAGCGGAGACGGCTCTTTTCCCCGAAAACCGGTTCTTACCAAGCTCGAACAAATTTGAGATTAACCTGAGCTAACAGTTTATGGAGAGTAGCCTATGGCAAATAAAAGTTATAACAAGCAGTAGTGTTGAGCAAAGTGACTAGAACGCAACCACACACTTGTAAAAAAAACACACTTTATAAAGTCAGGCAACATTAACCAGGCTTCGTGTGATTCTGTTTATTTGTACCTTACTTTGACCATCCGTTCGCTGTTATTGATCATTGTGGAGAGCAGGCAGACGTTTTGTTTTGTATTATAGCAGCTATCAGATGGAATCAATACATGGGCTGCACAGGTTGTCATGTCCGACTATCACAAGTAGAATCATAATGAAAAATACGCCGGTAAAATGTGCCCGTAGAAAACGGCTTAGCCTATGCCACAATAGGATAGCAACAAGTAGTCAATAGTCAGTTTAGCTTCGGTTGCTATGCTAACATCACCCATGTTATACCAGAGAAACTTTCATAACAGTGTTGTGATGCCAAACAGCGTCAATTCAGACTGACACACATTCACTTATGGGGAATTGGGGATATTTATCAGCTGCTTGTGTGACAGTCAGACAGTGAATACTTTACAGCGGCCACTGCTGTGTGTTAACGGGAGAATAAACTCCAGTGGACGAGCAGCACTGCAGCGGTCGGTAAATTCTGCTGAAACACATTAATAAACAATGAACCACGGCACTGGAGAAAAGTATAAGGTTGGAGAAGTAGGCCTAGTTATTTAATTCAATCTGGCTTCGTATGATTAAAAGTAACACGATCATCGACCTATGACGCATGTCCCCCACTGTTGTTGTTGTTGTGAGCGAAGCAGTGCACGGAGCTAGAACGGGAGCTCCGTTGGTGTGAAAGGGGCAACAGCCAGTGTTGCCAACTCCATAGTAAGGAAAGTAACTATTGGCTGTCCTAAAAGTAGCTAGAAGTCGTTAAATGACGTCATCGCCTAATTTGCAGATTTTATATACAAAAAGTGAAGAAAAAAAAAACACCCGTATGTGTTTAGAACTACAAATGAGCTTCCTTCTGTTGATTCTTTTTTTTTTTTTTTTATGTTTGTCCATCACTTGATGACTTTAATGCTTTGTCTCTAGAGTCTAGACGAGGGCTTCTCAAACTCCGGACCGAACTACAAATCAATCCGGACCGAACCCTGTGTCCCATTGTAAAAAATGTAAATTATACAAAATTAAAAAATTAAAACTTTCGGTTTCTGATGTAAATTAATGTATATGTTCTTGTGTCTGACGCGTTGTGAGAATGAACGTGCATATATTTACTTGTGTGCGCGAGCGTGACACACATTGCAGACCGCAAGTTAACCGCAAGTTTACCTTGACTTTCTAATGCTTCCAATGCCTTTTTTGCCGAGGTTCAAGGCATTGGCTACAGACAAACAGTGCCATTTCTCCCACTAGTTCAAGCCACCATACTGTATGTATGTATTGAAGGGGCGCCGTGTGCCGACAGGCAAGGCAGGCAAGTGCTTGGACCAGAAGGGGGCCCCCAAAGAAGGTAGATTAAGAAGGTCCACAGCAGCGAAAACATGAAACACCCTTTAATTTACTGCAACGACGTGTCGGGAAACCCCCTCAAGGGGGCCCCATGCATAGCGCGCCGTAAGAAACTGCTTCTTAAATTTCAGTTTCGTTGCTCCGCGGGGGCGGTCTCTCATTGCCAGAGACTTTACTGGCATTGACCATGGATGTATAATTAGAACATAAATAATAATAAGAACCAGTGACTTTTTTTTTTTTTAGCCTTTATTTATACAGGTGTAAAATGTCATTGAGACACAAGGTCTCATTTTCAAGAGAGACCTGTTCAGTGGTAACACTACCACACAAAGTTACAGACTGTGAGACAGCGACCCTTTTAGCGGCTGGATTTCCAGTGAAATAACCACACACGAGAGGAGGTAGAGTTGCACACCATAGTGTCTTTATTTCCCAGCCAGCCAGCCAGCCGGCTGGCTGCACGGCCTCCGAAGACTCTTTTATAGAGGATCTTATTGGGAGAAACCATTCACAGGTGTGCCATTATAAATACACATGTCATCATAATTAGTATAACGATAATCCATAATATTCTGTGCATGTATGATCAGTGGTTTATAGCCAGCTGTTAAATTAACCCCAAAACCCACATTATAACTGACCATAATATATAGACATACATTCCCAACTACAACAGAAACCCCTACGCCCATCCCGCCACTTGGTTCGTCCCGGAACCTTCTTTAGTCAGTGTTTGTTCCCCCCCGAGGACCTTTTGGCCAAACACACTGGAGCGGACACAGGACGAAACAGCATGGGTAAGCGATGGGCGTAACCTTTACACAGTGTTCACTTCTACAATGAATGCAACTTAATGTCATGACATATACACGCTAAAACAGGACATCTGCACACAATGATTAATCTCATCCGCTGTCAATCTCACACAATTATAAATACTCTCGGCGCTCTCGCTATAACTCCCCTCTCTTTTCAGGTGGAGTCGAGGACCGACCAGCATCTGCCAGACGACATTCCAAATACTACGGTTTAATCATTTAACAACTACTACATCAATAAATAGTATAGATGATATACAAATGTGCAAATAGGCCATGTCAAACTGTACTGTGCAAATCATGCTAATAAAGTGCAAACTGTTCACTAAAGTGCTGAGTGACATTCTTACTGTGCAAAAGGAAGTCGTTATATAAAGTGCACTGCAAACCCACATGTGCAATATTACAAGGCCCCCAAAGCCGTCAGTCCATAGTAACGAAGTTACCTTCGTTACACAGACAGACAGGACACTAAACACAGAGGCAACAGATATAGCAAGTGCAAACACCCATAGATGATTTCTCCAGCTTTTTAAAAAAATGAGTTTAAAATCTGTGATGGGTATCAAAGTGGTCAGCTTAAGTTCCTGCTGAAGTGTGTTCCAGGTCGAGGGGGCAGAGTATGATATGGCTTTTTTCCCAAGCACCTTGCGTACTGAGGGGACGGACAGAGTGATGTAATTTTGAGATCGTAGTCTATAGCTGTACTGTTTGTGTGATATGTAAGTGGATATGTAGAGGGGCAGCAGTCCAGCGGTATAGATGAGTTTGTACCAGTGCAGAGATCTGCGCATTGATAATGATGTCCAGTTGACTAAAGAGTACAGCGTGCAATGGTGTGCGAGAGGTTTACAGTTGGTTATGAACCTCAGAGCCCCATGGGAAACAACGTCCAGCAGATGAAGGGAGTGAGCTGAGGCGTTCATGTACACAACATCCCCGTAGTCCAAGAGCGGTAAAAATGTGGCAGCTACAAGCCGTTTCCTCGCACTTGTGGAGAAGCAGGCCTTATTTCTAAAAAAGAATCCCAGTTTTAATTTCAATTTCCTTAAGAGATTGTCCATATGTGGTTTGAAGCAGAGATTTTCATCTATAGTGATGCCTAAGTATCTGTAGGTGTTAACAGCTTCAATGGGGTTATGCTGTGCAGACATGATGCAGGGAAGAACAGTTGGTAACTTTTTCTTATTGGAAAACAACATGACTTTTGTCTTTTCTGAATTTAACACCAACCTAAGGTGGAACAGATGTGACTGAAAAGTGTCAAAAGCAGACTGCAGACGTTCAAATGCAAGGGCAACAGTGCTAGCACAACAGTACACAACAGTATCATCTGCATATAGATGTACAGAGGCATCAATACTTTGACCCACATCATTTATATAAATAGTAAAAAGGGTCGGTCCCAAGACCGAACCTTGAGGAACGCCTCTGGGCACATTAAGAAAGCTGGAGGAGAGACCGCTGAATTTTACACATTGGTCAGACAGGCATAACTTCTGGCATAGAATGCCATGGTCCACAGTATCAAATGCCTTGGATAAGTCTATAAAAACAGCGGCCGCTGTGTAATTTTGTACCTTGTATAAAATTCACAAGTGGACCTTTAATAAAAAAGTTCGAGTACACCTGGTCTAGACCAACATTACATACATTTTGTCCAGTATTGTTAAAGAATTAGTCACATTTAATTTAAATTGTTATGTGGGATGGAATTGCTACCTTCCTTCTTTATCTGTGACCCAAAAGAGACACACTGCAAGCGGGATCAGTGATTGCTTTGCGCGATTAATATTCAGTCTGGACGCGTAGTGTGTCTCTTATGGGTCACTTTGCCACCGCTCTGCTCGAGTGTAGCTGCCGCGCGAGGCTGCCTTTGAGTGTTTTGAGACGGCGGAGGGGCTCAGCACCCGCTGCTCGTTGAGGAAAGTAACTGCGTTATAATTGGAGGTTGTCGCAATTTCTACAGGCTCGCACTACCTGTTAGCATCTGTTAGCATCTAGCTCTCCTGCTTACAAACTTTTAGCCATCCCTGCTTATACAATTAGTAGTTTTAGTTGTCTGCGATCTGCGGAGGCCTACTCCCACCTGTCGAGTACGGCTGTACTGAGGTGTTTTTCCTCCGGAGACGTCGCGAAGAGACGGAGCGGCTCCACCTGTTGCTGCCTGCGATCTGCGATTTACGGAGGCCTGCTCGTCGCGAAGAGACGGAGCGGCTCCACCTGTTGCTGCCTGCGATCTGCGATCTACGGAGGCCTGCTCCCACCTGTAGAATACGGCTGTACTGGAGAGGTTTTTACCCCGGAGTCGTCGCGGAGAGACGGAGTGGATCCACGCTTCGGGCTTGGCCTGCTTCCACCGGGCGTGTGCTGCTGTGCGGAGGAGGATTTTACCACCGCTGGGGCCTGCTTTCCACCTGTCCTGGTTCTGCTGTTGCAGAGGTCTGCTTTCACCCAGGGGATACCACGGAGGGACCGAAGCGCTTCCACGCTGCTGTTTTCGCCTGTCCTTTGCTGCTGTGCTGATTTTGCTCCAGGAACATCGCGGATACTGTGTGCTGGTCTGGGAAAATGGCCCATATCGGGATTCTGCTGTGCCTGTTAACTGTTTTGGACTATGAGAAGATCTCTAGTCATTCTGAGAAGTCTACTAGATTCAGGTCTGTTCTGCCACCCGCAGTGGACATCCCCTGCAAAGGTTCGGATGTGTTGCATAAACAATTACCGGTTGCCTTGTCACAGACAATCTGCTCGACAAAATATGTTTGTCTTTTTTGTTTTCCTGCGATGATGGTTCTTCAGGATTGCTTCTTAAGCTCTAATCACACTCTCGCAGACTTTTCCGGTGTTTCTAAAGTAGATGACAATGTATGTGTGTCGTTTAAGAGGAAAAGATGCCTGTTTTTTGTTTTGTTATTACTGTCAGGAAATGTACAACCTAACCCTGGACCGCCCAGTAGTAGTAGTCAGATCGCTACTCCTGCTGATTTTAAAGCTAGGTCTGGGTTGGGTTTCATCCACTTGAAGGGTGACTTCCTAAAACAGCTGATTGTGACATACACAGGACATTTCATACACAATATATTATACATTACACAGGAGATGCCATATTGACAGGGTCAGATAGGAGGGCTGCGGACAGTGAACCGCAATCCTCCTGTCTCCCCTCAAAATTCCCCAGCAGAGAAGCTGCACGCTCCATGTTCAGTAGGTCCAGATACTCCCTCAGCCATGAGTCCCTAGTAAAGCAGGCTGGTTTGCGTTCCTTCCAGTTTAGTAGGATGAGTCTTTTTGTGGCTAAACAGCCCAATGTCCAGAGCCGATCGGCAGTCCTTGCAACATTGCCATCTGGCTTGAGACCCAGTAGACATGCAATGGGACATGTAGGGAAATTAACTTTTAAAGATTCAGACATTAAGGATATTACTTCTGACCAAAGTTTTTTTACCGCTGGGCGTTCCCAGAGTAGGTGCAACAATGTACCTCGCTTGCCACATTCATGCCAGCATAAGTCTCTGTGTTTATTGTCCATCTTGGATTTTGTAACAGGGGTGATGTAAGCTCTATTGAGAATTTTGAACTGTATGATCCTGAATCTTACACATTTAGAAGAGAACATAGCTGACCTCCAAATGGAGTTCCATTGCAAAGCAGACAGAGAGATATTCAAGGCATGCTCCCAGGACAGTTGGACAGGAGAATAGGTATTCGGGGCAGCCCTAGATAATAATTTATAAATGTTAGAGACCACACCGGATGATATGATTGCTTTCTTGAGGCGCTGGTCCTCTTCCATACATGAAGCAGGCATGGCTCCCTCCTTACATTTTGTATATAATAGATGCTAGTTGTGCATATGATAGAAAAGATGAGTCTGAGAGACCATACTGATTTTTGAGTTGTTGAAATGGAAGGGTTTGGTCTCTATATATCTGTCCAATTGTAGTAATACCAGCCTTCTGCCAGATATTATTACTTAAGGTGCCTCCTCCTGCAGAAAGACAGGGGTTACTCCAAATGGGGCAAGATGGTAAAGAGAGCCCCTCTATGTTGAGTCTCCTGTGCAGTTGCTTTACAATAGAGCATGAAAAGCGGATGATGGTATTATCCATTGAGGGTGGTGGTTTTGGGCAGTACCACATTGATGCCAGAGATATGTTTTGGTTTACAGACATGATGGATTGCTCCAGCCATTGCCAACTGCCTACCGGAGAGGCACTTTTGTACGCCCACGATAATGGATACTTTGCGTTGAAGGACAGATAACACTGGAATACATCCGGGACTCCCAAACCTCCCATTGATCTTGGAATGATCAACTTATTATGTGCGATTCTGGGTTTTTTATTATTCCAAAGGAACTGAGTGAATAGGGATTTGATATCTTTAAACCATTTTAGTGGGAATTCAAGAGGGATAGAGGAGATAATATGAGAAAGCCTTGGGAGAACATTCATTTTCAAGGTTTCTGCTCTGCCCCATAGAGAAAGTGGTATGCCCATCCATCTGTTGATGTCCTCTTTAATGGACTGGAAAATAGAAGGGCCGTTAAGGCTAAAGATTTTAGAGATAGGAGAAACGATGTTAATTCCCAAATACCTCATTCCATTTGTTTTCCAAATAAAGGGGGTGTTCATTAGGTTGTGCTTATATGTGTATGAGTTAAGTGGGATTGCTTCACTCTTGTTCCAATTTATCTTATATCCAGAGAAGCTGCCAAATAAATTTATCATATCAAGAACTGCGGGTATAGAGAGTGCTGGCTTGCTCAAAGTAAGAAGTATAGCGTCAGCGTACATATTTAATTTGAAATCGTGTCCATAAATGTTCACACCATATTTGTCACCATTAGAGCGAATTGCACAGGCTAATGGTTCTAGAGTCATAATAAAAAGTAGGGGACTAACTGGACACCCTTGCCTCACACCACGGTGTAAGGGGAAAGGTTTCCAGATTAATCCATTAGTTCTAACAGAAGATAAGGGAGCGCTATACAAAGCCTTTACCCATCAACTTGGGCCCAAAGCCACATTTTTTGAGCGTGTAAAATAGATATGCCCATTCTATTTGGTCAAAAGCTTTCTCAGCATCTAGTGATGCTGCAATCATTGGCAAATTGCTGGAGCTTGCTTCTAGGATAATCTGAAAAACCCTCCTCATGTTATTTGAGGACTGGCGGCCTGGAATGAAACCTACTTGGTCTAGATGCACTATAGATGGAACCACCTTCTCCAAACGGAGTGCCAGTATCTTGGCTAGAATCTTGTAGTCACAGTTTAAAAGGCTTAAAGGGCGGTGGTTAACCATCAGAGAAGGATCTTTGCCCGGTT